ACAAAAACAAATTTATTTTACCATCCTATGAAACTTAAAACAATGGGTGAAAGGGCATTTGAATACCAAGGCCCCAAGATCTGGAATGCTTTACCAGAGCCTGTTAACTTTTTTCGGGGGTTGAGCGCTATATAAATGTCATTTATTAATACTATAAAAATATCACCTCAACAGCGTTCACTCTCTATAGTGGCATTAGACGCTTTTCAAGAAAATAAATTCTCTATACCGTAGCCTACATTATGACACTTTTTGTGCGTACTGGCCCTTTCACGGTACAACAAGCCTTTCGAGTAAATATGCACCCGCTATGCTATACACCAGTATGGTTTTCATCACAATTGGAACTCAGAGACCTACACAAAATAACAAAATTGTTATGGCTGCTGATCTCACTTGTAGGAAGAAGAAACAAACGAAGCTGGAATACATGGTCTAGGGTAAGTAGTTAAAAAGAACACAATTGGGAGCAAAAATGAGAAAAGAGAACAGAAGGGAACTATGTGTTAAATAAATCAATGTGAAAGAGGTGTGATGGTCCGTTAAAAAATGTAAACTATTACCTATCCTTAACATCCATTTCCGACATGACTAAGGCAAGCGGGTGCCGAGTTTTAAAAACGTCCCTGGTGAACGTATTTCAAGATCGGCCAAAAGGGATTCCAATCACGGTCGCCCGAGTCGTTGTGCGGTATGTTATCAATTGAGCTGATGCTGTCACAAAAGGCAACGAATACCGCATTCCATTCAGCATCCCAGCAGAAAGATGAAGATAATTGACACCCCCCCCCCCAAAAAAAAAAAAGAGAAAAAAATCCGTTTTTGTGCTTAATCTTGCCGCTTTTTACGCAGAGATTTGATCCTGTTTTTGACTGGCAAACACGTCGTAGTCCAATCCCTCAACGGGCTGGAGGTAAAGGTAGGCCGAACGCACACTGGGAGCAGTCGCAGTCCCACCTCCACCCCACCCCCCTCAAACACGCACTTCTTGATGCTGGAATAACAACTTAGAAAATCTATAACCTCGTGCATATTCGTAAAAAAAAAGCTAAAAGCGTCTTTCTGGCATGATGTCACATTAAACTTAATGTGCCCCACAGAGAGTGAAGACCCTTCGTGTACACAGTAAATCAGGAAAATTCCACACGGGGAGCTCAATTTGACTGTTATTTAGACACTTTACCTGGCTTTCTTTGCTTTCTTTCCATCCTTATTTATTCTTCTTGTCACTCATTGGTCAAGAGCTTCGACTTCGGAATGACCGCCCTAACTGACGTCTGTTCGGCTACCGGGCTCGTAATCGCAAGTTTGCCGAAAGGAAGACTCGAGACTCAGCTATACACGACGAAATTTCCTTGAGAAAGGCATTTCACGAGAATTTTCCCATTAGGCCTGGCCATATCAGATATGTAGTTTAATTCGGAAGTTCCACCTCTTGAATGACCTAAGAGTGTTGCAAGGGGCGTTAAAAATCTAACATTTTAAGTTTGACTCTGTCTTGGAGAAGTCTAGATCTATTTCATGGACAGGCAAATCCTTAACAATTATTTGTCCGATCTAAAGTCTTCAATTGTGCAAATATTTATAATAATTTGTGAACGCCCTATTTGTGTATGGTAAGACGTACTGACTTTACTAAAATAGCGAGCGATCCAAACAGTGGAGTGTACTCACGGCTTGTGCAAGTGAGCTCATCACTGAGATCATTGCAGTCGTCCACTCCATTACAGCGTTTAGAAGGGTCCACGCACAAACCGTTGGCACAAACAAATTTGCCTGTGCAGTTCTCTGTCGAATAGGAAAGGAACTTAAAAAAAAAAATTTTTGACAGACCTTCCCCAAAAGTTAAACACAACATGATATGTTCCTCTTCTTTATGGGATACCAAATATTATCGTCCTAAAAATGCAGGTGGTTATATCAATGCGCTTTTAATAGTATTGTAGGGAAAAGCGTATCTTCTATACATCTAAGATTAAGAATATTCTAACAGAAGAAGGAATAGGGGAGGTGGAGGAGAAGGAGAAGGAAGAGGAAGAGCAGAAAAAGGAGAAAGAGAAATATATGAGGAGGGTCTTGGAGTTGGGAGACTTGGTGAATTCATTTCTCCTTTAATTGGGTGGAACTGCCCTAACTAAGGGTGCAAAGTAATCACAAAGCGGAGACTTCTGTCAGCTAGCAAAAAATAAATAAATAAAAAGCAACAAAACAACAACATCAACAAAGCCAGTAACAAGAATGAGTGACATGCTGAAACAACCTTTGAAATAAGCAGAGTCTGTGCCAAGACAGAACTATACTATGGGTTCGTTTACTTGAGAGGTCTCATTAAACGACGGCAAGAATCGAAAAAGGCCAAACTCTACGAGTTTTGTGCACTGTAACCTCAGTCTGCGGTGGTTAAGTCATATGTTTGCCTAACAGTGTACAAGACTGTGCAGTATGACGTAATTCCGGTTTACCACGGAGTGCACCATTTTACTCTTTTTGGAGCCACATGAAGGACAAGGGGGAATGGTTGCCCCTGCACTCAAATATAGCGAGACTGGAGTTTTGACTTTCATTTCCGCGTCCATTGTGCTATGAACAAACGCAGCAATGTTTTTTATCGAGAGGTAGGAACGACAGCCAAGACAGGGACCGGTCTAAGATATCATAATTAAGTCGATGGTTTGCATTAAACAAATTATGGCATCATCTCTGGAGAATGCTGCCCATTTCCAAACTACTGGAGACCGAATGTAGGAGTGAGGTGGGGTTCGACGGGATGAGGGTGAAAGGGAGATTTTTTCCTTTCCTCCCCAATATTTGGTGAAAAATACCATGCAATGGACGAGGAATTTTTTTTTTTTTTTTTTTAATTTTTTTTTTTTTTTTGGGGGGGGTCAGTGCTTTTTCCAAAATCTAGATGAAATGAGGACTGGCTTACTTTGAGAGCGCAGTTCGTAGTAATCGTACATGGCTGAGCGGGTGGCGCGACCTTGTCGGGTGTTGTAGGTGGACAGCTGACATGTCCGGTTGAGCGAGTCGTAGATGAAGGAGCGACACACGAAGTCTGTACTGTGTACACACTTTTGGGAACACTGAGGGAGATGGAAGGATTTTTTATGATTTTTT